ACCCCAGCCTGCTCAGCAGTCCCTCACAGCACGCCCCCCACCAGCCTCCTGGCCCATCCCTGTGGCTCTGGGGTTTGAGCAGGACCCTCTGCGGCTCTGAGACAGAGCCAGCAGATCCCTGATCTCATGCTGTTGCCGGGGTTGGGGGCGTCATTGACGAGGGCTGGCCTCGTCCTCCATACCCAGTTCTTTATGACGTCTGAGAGAGGATTGGCTCTGCTTCCCTTTCCGAAGGGCTGTGTGGCTGCCAGGTTGGGAGGTTCTGAGCCCATCGGGACCCTGGCACGGCCTCTCCCCCTGAGCTGACAGCAAACATTTGCCCACGGTTTACTGGAAAGAAGTCACCTGTGGGGCAGGAACGAGAGCTGGCAGGGGGTGGGTGGGCTTCTGGGTAGCTTGGACTTCAGAGGAGATGCGAACCTTCCCTGTGTCCGCAGCTCACAGGCGTCCGAGTGAGATTCTGAGTAACATTACGTGAGTAACACTTTGAGAGAAGGAAAGCCGCACACGTGGTCTAAAAATCCTGGAGCCTCCTGAGTGAGGGGCAGAGTGTGTCGGCCTTGTCCACGGAATCTTCCAGAGGGAACTTGAGTGAAGACTCGGTGTCCATGAATTACAGGACTGAGAGTTTTGTCGCTCAAGCTTGACCTTCTGTTGGCGTCACTTACAGTCTCAGACACAGATGGTCTCAGAGGGGCTCTGTGCGGGGGGAGGCCTCGTCTGTTCCCAGATTCAGCTCCACGGGATGTGCCCCTGCCCAGCAGGCATAGGAGCCGGGAGGCTCAGGACTCAGGCCCCATGTACCCGGCCACTGTGCAGACGGGCTCCCCAGCACCAGCTGAGCCAGGCCCACCATCCACCAGGCCCAGGGCCCCACCCTGAGCAAGCCGGGGGTGCAGAGGGTGGAGACAGCTTGTGGTGCCTGCCTGGGAAGAACCAGGCATTGTTTGCAGAACCCTTGGGACAGGGCTGCATCTTCAGGGGAGATGCGGCCGTGGGCCTGGGGCTGTGGCTGGGGTCTTCTATCATCGCTATCTACCACAGCTCCCTTCAAGCCCCCACAGGTGGTGGCGGATGTGGGGCTTTAGGGCCACCCTGGCCATGGGCAGAATTCTCAGCCCTGGTGGGACTCCTGGGCAGGGAGAGTGCAGGTCCCACAGGCGGCTGGAGCCTCTGCTTCTTCCGCGGGTGTCCACGCACCCCACTCTGCCAGGAGAGGCTCAACACACTTAAAAAAAAAAAGTTTTGTTTTTTAAACATCACTTTAGCCTTGGGTAACTGGGGCCTCCCTTCCCTCTCCCCTGCCCACTTCCCATTCACCCTTCTCCTGCTTCTCCTTTCTCCCCTCTCTTCTACTCTGCCCTACTCCCTCTCTCCCCCTACTCACCATGGGTGCCAGGCCAACAGGCAAGCACCTGGGTGGGTGCCCAGCCCTGCCAGGCAGAAGGCGGGTGGCTTTCTGGTGAGAAGGAGTGTGGGGCCTCCAGGGCCAGCCTCCCCCAGGTGTCCCCTTCCCTGGACACGGAGCTCTCCACGGACGCTCTGCCCACTGACCCCACCTGCATCCTTCAGCCCTGGAGGTGCGTCCTGCCTGGTACCCAACAGCAGGTTCCCAGCCCAAAAGGATGCAGATGGCACATCAGGAGATGAGCCCCCCACCCTAACAGGAAAGCAGAAGTGGACTGGGGGGACCCGTGGACCTGGGGAGAAGCTCCGTGTGCAGAGGCACACAGACTCCTGGAGGCAGCCTGCACCTGGTGAGAGCCCTCCCAGGCCACAGCCCTGATTCCAAGCCATGGGCACAAGCGGCCTCCTGACTTGGAAGCTGGCATTGAGCGTCCATCCTAATCAATTAGAAACTCCATGCCAGGGTGGCAGGCAGCAGGGACTATTCCAAGAATCTACAAACAGAATGTAACCACCATTGGCCACCTTCTGCACTAAATCCTAGGGTTCCCCTGGCTATGTCCTGCACACGGCCAAGAGGCCATCTCAGACGACCAGGCTCACATCATAAGGACGTGAGATTGCCTTTGAAGAGGCTCCGCTGGGCAAAGCTGGACACCAATGCTTGGAAAGGGCACTAATGGTGATCGACTGAAACCCACCAACGTGTTTCATCAGCGATGTATAAATACACTTGGGAGATCGGCAGGAACCAATTCACCATTGTGAAAACCAACAAGTGAGGGAGAGGCACCCTCGCCCTGCCTTTCCTATGGGCACCGTTATCCGGACGGCCAGACGAACAGGATGAGCCTCTCCCTCCAGTGAATTCCTGACGAAGCCACCGGGCACTGGAAAATCACTGTTTTGCTGCATGAATCTGTCATTTCAGACATCAAGCACTAACGACTGCTGACGGAGGGGCTACCACCAGACAGCGCGTGGCTCCCTCTGAGAGCAAGCCCCCGGCCTTGCCAGGGGACTGGACCCAGATCCCAGCAGTCCCCTGCCTCCAGATGCCCACTTTCAGGAGACACAGAGGCCTGCACCAAAAGATGCAACTCCAACCCAGGTCTCGGGCACCTCCACATGTCCGAGGGCCGGTTCCTACAACAGGTGCCATGTACAGAAAAGGACAGAGGGTTGGAGGTAGGTAGGAAGAGAGCACTGAAAGTCACACAATGCACATTTAACCCAAGGCTGCAGTGTGGGAGGACATACATGGGTGTGGAAACCCACAGATCGAAGGAAGGAGCCACCAGGCCCCTAGGGATGGGCTATTGACGGGATGGGAGGGGCCTGCAGCGGCTTCTGGGCTCTGGCAAGGTTCTCTGTCTTGACCCGCGGGTGCTTACAGGGTGCTGATCTCTGTCATGACTCACCTAATTAGAATGCAAAAGGCAGACCTCACCCCCCACCCCAGGCCTCCCATAAGTAAGATCTAAGATTTAAACAAGAGGGAGCTTCAGCCATGGCCCTTGGTCCTAGTCACGATTTTGTAATTACTGAGAAGACCACCCTCGGAGCTGCTGCAGGACCCTAAACTCCTGGGCCTCGGTTTCCTCCTCTGTAAAATGAAGCTGATGAGTCCTGAGTCCGGGTGCTGGCCCTGGCCATAGACCCTCCAAATCAGCTCCTCTGAAGGTCCACAGCCAGTGTGTGGCGGGCAGCCATCCCCACAGTCCAGGGGTGTGAAACAGAACTTGTACGTGCGACGGGAGTCCTGCACATCTGTTGCTCCTGCTGGCATCACTTGGGGAGGCCTCGTGCCCACCCTGAGCTCTGTCTAACCTTTAGGAATAGCGCTGAGTGGCAACCAGGGTTGAATGTGCAGAAGCCCCTGTTGGGGTAACTGAAAGAGAGGGTTTACCCAGCACCCTAAGTGTGAACCCTATAATTGACCCCATTGAGCACTTCTGTTCCCACCCCCTGGATCTTTTCAGCAAAGCCAGCCCTCCTCATGAGGATACCTGGGGCCAGCCCTCCTCGTGAGGATGCCTGGGAACCATTTTATCTTCTGGGGAGGTGGTTTCCCACCTTCTGTCCCGCTGACCCAGGGAGGCAGCTGACCTAGCACCATCCACAGCCCTGAGCTCCCTTTGGTGGGAGGTGGGGTGAGAGTGTGGACCAGGCACAGCTCCAGACACCCAGGCCAGAGGTACCTTCACCTCTGCAGAGGGCTGGTGCTGGATGGGGGACATTCCAGGAGGGGCCCAGGCCTCCAGCTTCTGCCCAGAAGAGCCCATGGGGCAAAGGGTAGAACCCTGGGCCATCCCAGGGCATGACTGGCTTTACTGGAAATGGCTGGAGAGGTTGGGCTTGCATTCCTTGATCCCACAGAGCCCCGTGATCCCACAGCCTGGAGGCCATCACTCTCATCCAGCTGCCTTTTAGGATTAGACAGGCATGCTGCTAAAACATGGCCAGGCCATGCCCATTTTCCATGTGACAAGAGGCTGTGGCCATGTTTGCCCACACCACCTGTGTTTCTGCTTTGTTGTTGTACAGCAGTTGTGGGTGATTACAAATAAAGGCTGATTCATTGCACCTGTGTGCCATAGCATTTTAGCCCAGTTCTCCATTGACGGACATCTGATTGTTCCGTTTTTCATGAGTCATTTGTTGAGAAATGTGCCAGGTGCTGGCCGGTGGTATCTTGGTGTACGCCTGGCAGGTTCTAGAACTCCACCTTCCCTGCACCACCCTGTGAGCTTCTGGAACATTTCCCAAGGAGGGAAGGGAGGGTTCCAGGGCAGGGGCCGCAGGGCACTCCTGGGGTAGGTGTGGAGGAGACTGGGGTCTTCGTGGGTGGTATCTGTCATGGAGGGGGACACTCCCTCTACTGGGTTAGGTCCCTAACCTGGAGCTGGACCAAGGTCCAGAGGACCCCATCCCCAGACTATCCAAGACTCCTTCCACAGGAGATGCCTTCGCAGCCAGGCTGGGCTAGCCATGAGCCAGGCTAGGAGCCCAGGGTCTGAGCGGGTGTTGACAGCCTGGAGTGGGTGGGAGGACTGTGTGGGAGGTGGGTGCTGGAGGATGGCAGGGGGGGCAGGGGGCTGGAGCAGGAATGGGGGGCAAGCAGGAGGGGCCCAGCAGGAGGGGGTGCAGGAGTGGTGGGGGGGTTCCCGCAGGAGGGCGTGCAGGAGGGGCAGGGGGCTGGAGCAAGAGCAGCGGAGGGGTCGGGGTGGGGGTAGGAGATCGAAGAAGGGGACAAGCGGGGGGGAAGGGAGGAGGGCGGCAGGGGGACGGGGTTTCCAGCAGGCGGGGCAGGGGGCTGGAGCAGGAGGGGGTGCAGGAGAAGGAGAGGGGATTCACTGGCTCTGCGAGGGTCGGGGGCGCAGGCAGCGAAGGCCCAGCGTGCTGGGTCGGGGCGGTCGGGCGGACGCAGCCTGGGTTGGGGGTCCCTGCGGGAAGTCGCCTGGCCCAGCTCCGCCGCGGGCCAACTTTTCTTGGGGCCGCGGGGCCAGCAGGTGAGGTCACGTGGCTCGGGCGGGGCGGGGCGGTCGGGGCTGGTCGGTCGGACCCCGCCCCTGCGCCCAAGTCCCGTGGCGTCGGCGGGAGCGGCGCAGCGCGGGCCGGGCCGGGGCAGGGACTGTGGGCTGCAGGCAGCCATGCCCACCAACTTCACCGTGGTGCCCGTGGAGGCGCGCGCCGACGGCGGCGGGGACGAGGCGGCCGAGCGGACGGAGGCGCCGGGCACCCCCGAGGGCCCCGAGCCCGAGCGCCCCAGCCCGGGTGAGCGCGGCCGCACCTGGCCGGACAAAGGCCGAGCGCCCCGAGCGCGGGTCTGGGCCCTGCATCCGGGAGGGGAGGTGGGCGGCGCGGTGGGGGCTGTGGCCGCGGCGGTGGGGCCGGGGTACAGGAGGCGCCCCTGCCCGCGCCCCCACCGCCTGGTCTTCTCGGCCCCCCACGAGGGCCCCCACCCCACGTTAGTGGCAGGGCTGGCGGGCGAGGGGCTGTGCCCAGGCTCGGGTACCATCGGCTCGGGTGGGACCGGGGACGGAGGTGTGGACGCCGCTGCTGGTAGCTATGGAAACGGGGAGGGGCCGGAGCGCGGCTCGGGAGGGAGCCCGGGCCCCTGGGTGGTCCCTGGTGGGACAGGGGTGGCGGTGGAGACCCGGGCGGTTCGGGAGCCGGGGCGTCCTGCGTCCCCCGCGCTCTCCCTTCCCCTGCGCCGCGGCCGTCCGGTCCCACTAGCCCGGGCCGGCCCGTCCTGCACCCGCCTGACCCTGGAGGAGCCGCCCACCCCCCAGCGGCGGAACAGGAAGGACTGCGCCCTGGCTGGGGAGTGGGCGGCCGCCGGGGCCTTGCTCAGGCCGCGTCCTCCCGGTTCCGGGAATCTGGAGGTTTCTAGCACTTTCACTTTCTCTGGGGGTTGGGGATGGGACTGGGGAGAAAATCCCCCAGCCCTGTTCCCTCCATCCTGGCTCCAAATCCCAGTTACTCCCGGGATCTCAGCCCCATCTAGAAAGCGGAGGCTGTTAGGCCCTTCCCTCCAGAGTCTCTGAGAAGGTGACGGGACTCAGTCCAGCCGCCACCCCGCGTGCTGGCCGTGCCCGCTTGTGCCCGGGTCTCATGCAGTGGGTGGCAGCCTCCCTGTTCCCTGGCAGTGGAAGGAAGGAAGGTGAGGTCTATCCAGGGACAAGTCCGGCGGCAGACCCCAGATCCTTCCTAACCCACCATCCCGGGCAGGAAAGGCCAGACATCCCCTCCAGGCAGTTTAGGAACCCAGGGACACGAGTGGGGACCCACCGTGAAGGCACCCACCGAGGCGGGTGAAGAGTGGTCTCAGCTTCCTCTGCACGGAGGCCAGCCCAGATCTTGGAATTGGTCAGGCTGGATGCCAGGCTCAACACCAGGTGAAGTGCTAAGCAGGCTCCATGAGTCCAAGCCCCTTCTCTCCAGTCATCAGCGCTGAGTCAGGAAGCACCACGGAGGGTGGGCTCTGGCCTGGTCTTTCTGTGTGAGCTTTATAGCAACGCCCCCGAAACGCACTCAGAAGGAGTCTTCCCGCCTGGCCGGCCCTTTCTCAAGGCTGATCAGGTTCACTTTTGTCTCTAGACTGTAAGTGTCGTTTGCTTTTAAGCCAGAGGGAGTTTTGTGCTTGTTCGTTTTCTTGTCTCTTCTACTCTGAAGGCTGTTGAGCGGTACCCTGGGCCCCTGTCTGCCCGGGAGGCAGTGGCCCTGCCGGCGCACTCAGGTCCTGCTACTCAGGTCCTGCTACAGGCGTGTCAGGAGGCTCCCTGGCCCTTCATGAAATCGGAAACAGGAGGGAACGGGCCAGGTGTGGGCTTCTGGACACACTTGAAGGTGGCCTGTGGTGTGAGCTGAACTTGGGAGATTTCTCCGAACTGGCAGAGAACTTGCACCTGGGGCTTTTGTGCTGGCCACGCTTCCTCTTCCACAGAAAGGGCCCGGTGCCCAGCCACTGCCAGGCTGTAACGGGCATGCAGCTGCCCTTCGGAATCCACTAGATCACATCCTGATCTTCAGCCCACAGAGGTGTGGCGAGGAGTCCCGTGATGGGCACAGAGCCTGGGGAAGGAGGCACAGGCTTTGCTTTTTGGTGGCGGTGGTGGTGGTCGGGGGCAGGGGTCCTGCAGCAGCCGGAGCCGCTCCCAAAGGCCTGCTGCATGGGGTCCACGCCACAGGGTCACAGACCAGGTCCAAACCTGTCCAGCCACGGGAGTTACCGGCACCCAAGCTCTTCCTGACTCCATTGCCGTTCCCTCGAATGGTCCATGGAGGTACCATAGAGGTAATTCTGGGCTGGCGCCTGGGTGACGGTGAAGCAAGTTTGGGGGGCCTGGTGGGTTGCTCCTGGGCACTGCTGGGTGGGCGTGGAGAGGGCATCCTGAGCCACCCCAGCTTGAGCAGGGGACTCAGCGTCCTGAGCCCGGGTTGGGGGTTCTGGGGGAGGAGGGGTAAATGCTGCTGCCCAGGCTGCCTGGCTTGACCCAGAACCCAGCAAGGCCGTGTCTGCACAGCCTGGCTCCAGGGGCCTCCTGTCCCCGACCCCTGCAGCTTCCCTGCTGCCTCTGGCGGAGCCTCTGCGGGAGGCGTCCTGTTCCCAGGATGGGCACTGTGCCCTCAGCACTTCTTCGGACAGAGCTTTTATTCCTGGTTTTATTTTTATGTGAAATGCCTCGTCTTGAAGTGATGGGACGTGTTAGCCCTCAGTTTCTCAGTGGGGTGATTTTTCGAGTAGGAGGTGGGAGGACACTGCTGGGGGCCGGCTGTGTCTTGAGTAGGAGATGGGGGGACACTGCTGGGGGCCGGCTGCGTCTCCTCTGACTTCAGGGTGGGTTGGGTTTTATAACTGACTTGGGGGAGCCCACTCTTCCTCCGTGACTACATCAGGGTAGACTCGCTCCTTCCCAGGTTATACGGATGCGTCCAGGGGTGTCGGGACCCAGGAGACCGTGGGAGGGGTGGGGAGGGAGGGCTGGCCGGTGCCCTGGCCTGTCTGGAAGGTGCAGTGTGCAGAGCCTCCGGCGAGGCCCCGCAGGCCCGGACCACCCACTCTCTAGGAGGGACGTCCACATGTCCGGGGCTCCCTGGGCTGGGAGAGGGTGGGTCCTGCCTGGCACCCCCAAGTCTCCCACCCTCAGCTGGGGCTCTCCCGGGTTTGCCGGGAGCTTCTTCCTGGCTCGGGCGCCATTTCCCTCTTTGGGTTCCGTTTCTGAGATTTTCCACTGTGGCTGAGCTCGTGTTGGTTGTGCAGGGGCGGTCTCGCCTCCCTCTGCCCCTGGCCGCTGACAGAGGCCCGGTCGCACAGTCAGCGGCCTGCCTGTCCCTCCTGCTCCAACTACCTCCCGTGTCTGTGTTGGGAGTGCCCTCCTGAAATCTTAAATCTTAGGATAACAAGAGCTGCCACTTCCCGTCCCTACTTAGAAGGCCGTCCTGGGCCATCCTTGCCTGTTGGGTGCTGGGTGCCATGCTCTGCACTGGCCTTGGGAACGGCGAGACAGTGCACGCCGGCTGCACTGATCTGGGGTCCCCTTTGGGGATGCAGGGACTTGGGGGATCATGCATTACATAGGGGGACCATGCACAGAGCGTCCGGGTTCCGTCCTTCTGAGTAGGGACGGACAGCTCTTGTTGTCCCCAGATTTCAGGAGGGCGCTCCTGACACAGACACGGGAGGCAGTTGGAGCAGGAGGTGACAGGCAGGCCGTTGACCCTGTGGCTGTGCCTGGGAACCCCTGCAGCAGCTGGGCACCACCTTGTGGGTATGGATGGTCATGGATATGTGGTGGGCAGGCAGGGAGGCTACGAGACATGCATTTTGTGTATCAGCTTCCCTTTTTGAAACCAAAGGAAACAAAAGATACACAGGAAGGCGGTGGCTGCTGGGCATCTAGGCTGGGGCCTGCGCTTCCTCCTGCGCCTGGTATACTCCCAGGCTGTCTCCAGGCAAGAGGCCCTCCTTAGCAGGCATGCGGTAAAGCGTGGTGCCTTTGATCAGCTGGCTGGGCGCATGTGTGCAGGCACCTGTGTGCCTTGTGAGTGTGCAGGTGTATCCATGTGTGAGTCATGTGCTTGCACCATGTATATGTGCACGTGCATGTACACACCTGTGCACACATGAGTGCACTGTGCTCTTGCACAGCTGTGTGCTGTGGGCATGCTCGCGTGTGCGCGTGTGCGTGTGTGTATGTGTGTGTGCGCGCACGCGTGTGTGCGTGTATGTGTGTGTGTGCGTACCGTGGCAGGTAGACAGGGACTGGGGCTTCCTCCGCAGCAGAGGGTCACATGGCATTGGGTGTCCCTCTGGATATCCGTTCCTTTCCCCTGGGCTAGGCCCGTCAGTGAGTGGCCAGCAGCTCCCCCTCTTGGTGTGGCCTTGTGTTCAGGTCTGAACCTGCTCCAGGGCCTCTGATCATGTGAGGAGACCTTTGCCTCGTGGACTTGGTTTCCTGTCTTGCAAAGCTCCCCAGGCCTCTCGGAGTGGGCAAGGCCAACGGATTCCACAGTGGTTTTCTGTCTCGTGTTGGACACCAGATCCCCTCCTTAGAGTGGGTGACTTTCTCAGTGCCTCTCCGGTGGTCTGGATGGCCGTTGGGAGGGCGGTGCCAAGAGGAGGGCCAGGTGCTCAGGCCTGGTGCAGGGGGCTGGTCGGGGCTGAAGCCCCAGGCTTGCTGGGGATCAGTGAATGTCGGAGACCTTGCCAGGCGGGCTGGAGTCAGGCAGAGGCACCTGAGGGACCCTGAGGGTGAGTTGGGGGCTGTCCTCCCCTCATGCCTGGCAGGAGTGAAGTCACCTCTGTCAGGGCCTCTGCCCTTTGGACGTGGGGCCACGTCCTGCAGAGCTCCTTGGACCTGACTCAGGGATTCCCGGATGGCCCAGGCTCCTGCATGGGGGATGGGTGGCCTTTGTAAATCACAGAAAGCGACCTCGGTGGGCCTCAATCACTTGAGAGGTTTATTTGCCAAGGTTAAGGATGTGCGTCGCACAGAACCACGGGAAACTTCTGTGGTCCGGCCTTTTCTTCTCAAAGACGGCTGGGAACTTGAATATTCAGAGGGTAAAGCGTGCGTATTAGGGGAAGAAAGAAAAAGAAGAGGGAGGGCAGATAAGAGGCAGGCAGCATTTGATCAGCGTTCACTGAACCTGTGTGTCACACGTGGGGGTAGAGGAAGAACCCCTCACGCCTCACACTCAGTGAATCTGCACATTTACCTACGACACAGTCACCACGGGGTGCGTGAAGTGCTCAGGTGTGCGTTTGCCTC